CCACCAGTCGCAGAACTGTCATTTTCATGCTACTCTCATTTACGAATTCTTGCACTAACTAATTACCTTTTTCTGCAAAACATTTATATCTGACCAGCTTTTTCTCACAGCTTAAAATTAAGACAGAAACCTGATTGACTGGTGAGCATTTGTAATCCATGTTAAAAATAATTTCAACTAATTTTTCTTCAAGGCTACAAACATCATTAAAACTGAAAAGCCGTCAAGTGTCTAACTGTAATAAGAAATAAAACATTTTATTAAAAGTCTAATAAATAAGAGAAAGAGATAAAATTGTCATTATTTATACTTAAGTTTTGCCTTACTTAGAAAGACTTCTCTGAAAATTCTCTTTCTCTCTTAGAATGTTTTCATAGTTTGTTTGTTTATAGTTTTAATTAAAGTTAGTTATTTAACGATTAATTAAACATATTATACATATTTGAAATAAATATGTCTCAAATATTAATATTTAGTTAATATGCTTGAATTGCAGAATGTTACCAACAAAAGTGTCTTGTAAATGCTAGACTTAAGATTTCAGATTGAAAATAAACATTAATTTTATTTTTTTCCTTTGTATTATTATTATTGTTGCTGTGTATGGAATTTTTGTTAAATATTTAGAAGGCGAAATTTAAAATAAAGTTAGGTTATTTTTTATTTCGTTGATGAAAAACTTTCATTTCGCTTAAAAAAAATTCTGTCCCATCAGTTGTTTTCATAACGTGCATTTAGCCCGTATGCAATTTCAGTTTGAGACCACTGCTATTGAACATATCTGGGACGCTATTAGGAAAGCAATTGCAACTCGCCTTACTCCTCCAGAACCCACAAAGATCAAAAAACGGCATTGCTACGGGAGTAAGCCAGCTGCAAGAGGATTCATAAACATCGTCGTTTCTAGTATGAATTCATGTTGTTAGAGCTGTATGAATGTAAGAAAAGACCATATGGCTCTATTAGCCTTTGTTTCAACCTCTCCTTCAGACCTACCTGCTCCGATGACTCTTACTTTTTAACTGCTGCTGGAGAAGGTAAGGAATTATTCTTACGCTTTTGCGAGTGATGGGAAAGGTGATCTAAGAAAATTTGATAGAGGGCAGAATGTAATGACCCGAAGACTCGGTGCGAGTATCTCCGATACCGCACGACTAGTAAGTTGTTCACGATCTGCCGTTGTTAGTTTTTAAGCAACGTGAATAAATGACGATGAAACAAGTCGTAGACACCACGACATTGGAAGTCCACGCGTCATCAAAGAAAAAGGACGTAGGGATTGTCCGGCTTGGTACAGCAATAATCGGCGCCAGACAGTCAATCAGCTGAAAGCGGGAGTCAGTTGACAGCCCAATACAATGCATGTCCAAGTGCAAATATTTATGAATACACAAATCAGCGGACACTGTTGGATATGGGATTGCACAGCAGACGTCCCACTCGTGTGCCTCTGTTGACCCAGCGTCATTGTCAACTACGCATACGATGGACCCAGGAACATCGAGACGCCTGGTCGGATGAATCACGATTTCTCATTCATCAAGTTGGGGGTCGTGTCAGGGTACGCCGTCTTCCAGGCGAATAGTTGCTGACCCTTCCTCCTGTACAGCAGGTCATACAAAGGCTGTGGTGGCAGTATTATGCTTTAGAGGACCCTCTCATGGGCGGCTGTGGGACCCTTAGTTGTGGTAGAGGAGACCATGAAAGCTGAGGACTGTCTGAACCTAATTCTGGATCATTTGCACCATTAGATGGTGTCTGTCTTCTCAATTGGAAGTGGAATCTTCCAGGAGGACAACGCTCTCTCTGTCACAAGGTTTGAATTGTGTTGGAGTGCTCCGAGAAGCATAAAGATGAATTCCTATTAACCTGTCTCCAGTCATCTACCAAGAACTTGTGGCATCCATGCCAAGGCGAGTTGCAAGGAATTATTCTTGCACTTACTTTTGCGAGTGATTTGAAAGTTGCTGATCTAAGCAAATTTGATAGAGGGCAGAATGTAATGGCCCAAAGACTCGGAACGAATATCTGCGATACTGCACGACTATAGTTTGTTCACGATCTGCCGTTGTTAATATTTAAGCAAAGTGGATAAATGGCGGTGAAACCAGCCCTAGACACCACGGTGTTGGATGTCCACGCGTCATCAAAGAAAAAGAACGTCGGGGACTGTTCGCTTGGTACAGAAAAATCACAGTGGCTCAGCTGATAGCCCAATACAGTACAAGTGTTTCGGAACATACAGCTCAGCGGACACTGTTGGATATGAGACTGCGCAGCAGATGGTCCACTTGTTTATCTCTGTTGACGGAACGTCGTCATCAACTATGCCTACAGTGGGCTTGGAAACATCGAGACTGGATCATGGATAAGTGAAAGATAGAGTTGCCTGGTCGGATGAATCACGATTTCTCATTTACCACGTCAATCGTCAGGTCAAGGTACGCCAACAGTTGCTTCCCGTGTACAGCAGGTCATACACAGACTGGTATTACGCTTTGGGAGACTTAGTTGTAGTAGAGCAGACCATGACTGTCTGAACACAATTCCAGATCAGTTACACCCTTATATGTCTGTCTTCCCAACTATAAATGAATCTTCCAGCAGGACAACGACCCCTGTCACAAGACTTGAATTGTGTTGGAGTGTTTCGGGAAGCATAAGGGTGAATTCTTATTAATGTTCTGGCCACTTAGCTCACCGGATATTAACACCGATAAAGCACATTTGGGATGTCATGGAGCGGCAGCTGACAACTCAAACGCCACTGTTTCGGAATATCTCAACTTTGCGTGACCTCTGCTTACACATTTGGTAGAACCTGTCTCGCCATCTACCAAGAACTTGCGGTATTCATACCAAGGCGAGTTGCAGTTGTTTTGCAGGCCAAAGGTCGCATAACGTGTTATTGAGTAGGTGGTCATAATGTTTTGGCTCTTCAGTGTATACGGTAAAACTTCTCTAAGTGAAATGGCGGCGAAACCAGAGCAGAAGTCTTTTTGTGTTCTACAATTGGCAAAACTAGAATCCATTGTTGCAGTTCAGCGAGCATTTCGCCGTCAATTTAATAAACAACCACCGTGTCATAAGCAAATTTACGAGTGGCATCGAAAATTCGAAGAAGATGGTTGCGTCTGCAAAGGGAAAAGCACGGGACGTCCACGCACATCGAACGAGAATGTCGAGCGTATTCGTACACTTTACGAAAGGAACCCAAAGAAATCCACATCGCGAGCAAGTAAAGAACTTAAAATTCCTCAGCCAACAGTATGGCGAGTTCTAAAACATCGTCTGCACATGTCGCAACCACCGATTTGACATTTGTCGTGTAACACACGGTGCCCATATTGAATGCATACCATAATTGTTAACTTTTCTCTATCCATTAACGTTGGAATCATGTTTCTATCTTTTGTAGTTTGGAAGAAATAAATGTTTGAAATCTGCTCTTTCTTTTTGAATAACCCTGTATATACATACGTATTTGACGTTTTTTTAATTTTACATGTACTCCTTTTGCTTTGCAACTTTTATTGAGGAAGAATTGGTTAGGACCTTCATAGGGAAGAAATTATAATCTATCATGTAGTTCCGACTTTTCCTTTTAATTTTATATACATATATATGTGCCCCCTCTGTTACTCGGCTCGGTGAGCTCTTTTAATTTTTTTTTTTTTTAATGTTGGTAAATTGTGCACGTTTTGCTTTAAAACTGATTGAATTATGTCGTTCTTATGTTCCGGTTAAGGTCTGTATGGCTTTAGTTAAACTGCATGCAATAGTTGTTGAATTATTAACAATTTAAAAGTTATTTAAGTCCTGCTTACCCTAAGGAGACCGCCATTTATTTACGTTTGAAAGTTTTAGTAGAATAGTGAATTAAATCATTCTGTGCGCCAACTTCAGTGTCTTTTTGCCGAGTGAGACCAACAGTAAACTTTAAATTTTGTACACAGAAAACTCCGTTTTCCTGCCAGCTAGTCGTAGAACCTCTAATTTTAATTGTAGAAAAAAAAATTAACTGTATTTGGGGTTTTATGTTTTTCTAATTTTTAATTTTTAATAATATTAATTTTTAATGAAGATGCTTTGAGTTTTTATGTATTTTTGTCTTGCCTAAGTGAGAACTGAAATAATTGAATGAGAAATATATTTCTAATGAAATTCGAGGAAATAAGTACAAATGAGATGCAGCAAAGAATGAGTATAATTTAATTAGGCCGTACAAGGATGACATGTGGTGTCCACATCAGATATTTTTATAACAGAAGAAAGACCTCGCCCATTCGCTGGATACAGGCGTGTTAAGGCGTTTAGTGCTCAAAATAAGAAACGTGAACATTTAGATGACTGATGTTGGGGGAAAAAATTATGCAAAGAGGAGAGAAATCGGAAAAACTAAGAAAATATTACTTCATTTTATAGAACAAATCTGCGAAGAAACAACATAACTTGTATAAAAAATTATAAGAAATAATTTAATAAACAAATTAGACTATATAGTTTTAAGAAAATTTTTATTACTTTATAGTCATTTTTTATGTGTTTCCAAACTGCATATTCATCTGCAAAATGTGTTGTAATTTTTAGTGAAAATGTGCTATGCTTCTTTGATTTGTTTTACTGTCAATATTATGCATTTGAATTAATATTATATAAGTGTTGTATTACAAATTTTTACACGCTTTTATTCTATTTAGATGTGGAGAACTACATGAAAATTGTTAATATACAAAATATGTTACATAAATGATTGTAACATTTGTTTTCGAAATGAAATATTTAGTAATAAAAAAATTATTTTATAATCTGAACTTGCTATAGAAAATTCAGTTTTAAAAAGGGCCTAATAGGGACACCGCGTGTTGCAACTTGCGGGCCCTTAAAATTAAATCGACCCTAAATATCATTATTCGTCAGTATAAATTTCCATTTTTTCTTCCTTCATTAGATTTTCATTTCTCTAAAAGGAAAAACTTACAGCAAATTTTATTCTATAGATGCTAAATCTTTTTGTTGCGGTTATTATGGACAATTTTGATTACCTAACTCGGGATTCTTCAATTCTGGGAGCTCATCATTTAGATGAATTCATTAGAATGTGGGCAGAGTATGATCCTAGTGCAACGTAAGTATTTAAAATTTGTTCTGAACTATTTTTTTTTAATCACGTAGTTATGCACACAGCAAATTTTTTTGTCTGTATTTTAATATATGAATTTTTACTAAGTGTTAATTAAAGCAGAATAATGATTAATTGATTCCAAAACAAACTGCTGCATAAATATTAATTTATATTTTTATCTGATGCATTATGGAGTTATTACGTAAAATGACATTACATGTTTATATTTTCCATTAATTGTGTTAGATTTCTCAGGAGTGATATTATTTTTTTAATATTTTCCGCCGATCTAATTAACTGCTATATGAACAAAAAATTTTTTTTACATATTTTAAGAGAACTGTGTAGATGTATTGGATTCGTACATTTACATCAATGTCTATTAATATACTTTTTTAATAAGAAAATATTTCCTTCAAATATTATGCTGTTTTATTTTCTCTAAATAAATTTGATAAAACTTCAGTTAGCCTTCCTTATTTAGGTCTTAAATAATTATGATAATGGTAATCAGTATATTACATAAACTAATAAATAACTTTTTTTATGAACATAAAGGTATTTTAAATCTAAGAAAAACATAATCTTAAGTATTTTACATATAGTTTTAAAAATATTTTTATAATAAAGATAATTTGCAGTCTATTTCCAAATTTTTTTAAATATATATAAATACAATATCGAGCATTAAAATTGCTGCATCTTGAAGGCGAGCAGTTGGCAACAGGGCAGGATTAAGACTATTAAAGGATGCAAGTACTTGAAAGAATATGGTGCCTCATACATACATTTACGCATGTTTTTGCCCATTCCATAATACATTCAATAATAAAACCGACAATTTTTGTGGTACCTTCTTTACTAAGCACATTCTTATTTCAATTGATAGTTAATCCAGCTCTGAGTTGGCATCATTATTTATTTTACAAATACATTGTGAGAAGGTAGGAAATATGAAATGGTTAAAATTCCAAGTAATTTTGAGGTGTAGAACATTACTAGAAGCCGTACCGGTTAATCTTTGGATTATGGTAACTTAATGATTTTTTGGCGAAACTTTGGCGACCAACCCTGCTACAGCAACCTGTTAGTTTTTGTTTGGACGCCATTTTGTTTTCACAAAGTAAAGGCAAGGAGGTTAGAGTAACCAAAATGTCTATTCTAACCTCCTTGAGCAAAGGCATGTTTTTTTTTTTTTTTTTTTTTTTTTTTTCCAACTCAAAATTTTTTTTCCAACAATCTACTAGCCGAATTACGCTTATGCTAGAACTTTTATGGAACAAAAGTGTTTAATCATGACGAAGATTAGGTGCGAAATTGGGAGAACGTGCAGAATCGCAAACTGCTTGCCACATTTTTAAGAATTGCACATACACGGTATCCATGTACTCATCGACCTATTTTCACTTAAAAAACATCCCATAATTGCACAAAAATGGCATTGCGCGCACTCTTGACTTTATCCATGTACACTGCTAAAGTCCTAGCTAGTAACCTTTTATCGCCTTACCAAAATGTCGCCAAACTACCTGTTACCATATTCCAAAGATTAGCCGCAGTACCTTGAACATATGCTTATCCTCCAGTGGAACGGTGCTTTAGTACACCAGGGTGCCTGGGCCGAAGGCCCTACCCCTCGTAGAATAATTTTGAAGTTTCGAATGATATCCAAAAGTAACCAGTCCATTTCTAGAACAAAGTTGATACAAAACATAAATCATAATTAATTAGGCATAAATAATTAAGACACAATAACACGCCGAATAAATACTAATTCAGAAGTCAAACAACAAAAATCAGCGTTATATTTACAAAACTTTCACAGAACTAGTTTCGATGGTTTTACCGAACCACCATCTTCAGCTGCAAAACCGCAAATGCGGTTTTCGGTAAGACCATCTGGTTCGGTAAAACCATCGAAACTAGTCCTGTGAAAATTTTGTAAATATAACGCTGATTTTTGTTGTTTGACTTCTGAATTAGGCATAAATAGTTACATAAAAATTTTGGTGACTGGAAACCTGAAGTAGAAACAATTAGCATTTAAAATAGTTAAAGTACTAATAGCGGCGAGTTAAGCCGTCGAACTGGTGAATAAATCCTCTCCTTAGTGGCGAAAAGTCCTGTCTAGAAACAGTAGTTGCTCATTCGTCGGATCCAGTCACGTAGGAGGTCACCTTTCCAAAAACTGACCCCGCTCGATGCTGCTTGAAAACCGGGTTAACCATGGAGGTAGGAAGTAAGATGGAGTCGCCCTAAACAAGTTTCTCCGTACCCTGCTCTGAAGCACCGGCGATCCCTACGTGGTGACCAAAACATTGGGTCATTTACCATTGAGTTCTATGGGATTTGACGCGTTCGGGTGTAAATATTTTGTAATTACGTCGCAAATATACATATAAAATGTATATATTTTCTTTTTCTACAACACTTCAGAGTCCTAAGTATGTGAAAACAACATATTTTTAAACAACATTTCATTCTGAACGGAATTAAATGCTATACTTTTCACAGGACAGTTTTTCTCAGAATGGTTTAATTTGAAACAAAATATTTTCACAAGTTTTCGTTAATTACATTAGAAAAAAAAATTAAGGTAATTCGATTTTATTCGGTTAAGGTACAAAAATTAAGATCAAAGTTTATTGTATTATTAATATTAAAATTATGCATTATTTCTTTTCTATTTATAGAGCTTCTTCCTAAAATACTTTCTTAAATATGAAATGATTTTTTAGCTTCTTTTAAATCGAAAAATGTAAGTCAATTTATAATTAATGCTCTATTCGGTTCATTTTAAATTAGAGAATTATTAGGAATTAGCGAAATACTTTAGTATTTGACTTTCTCTGAACATTTCTGAAAGGGAATAAAATAAGTTTTTTTTTTTTAAAGTATTATTTAAAACTTGTAACTGAGTTATTATAAAATGTAAAGGGAATAATTCTTTTAATTATACTTATCAGATTTTTTTTTTTTTTTTTTTTTTAACCCTTCATTTCAACGATACATATTCCAAAACTCTTTATTACGTTCTTAAGTTCGCATCTCATAGCATTTGCTTTACAATACCTTTTAACAGATTGCTTTCCAATACAAACAATTCTTGCTTAATTAATTTTATAACGTATTTGTTAACAGGATTTCAATTTATGTTTACAATTCAATATTAAGGTTATTATATATTTAGATAACATTTATAATCATTATAAATTATATGCATATAATCATTAGATTTCTTCACAGTACTTTCACAGTTGTTTATAAGTGAATAAATTCTTCATTTCAAATACATTTATAAATAATTTAATGAATATTTAAGTATTTTTTCAAAGGCAGATACATGCTTTTTGCAAGCACATGCATAAATACCCATACATATTTCCTATTTATCATTTCCGGCATGTGCAAATCTTTAATTTCTGTGCATTCACTATATTTTTCGTGTAAAGTAATTTACACTAATTTAGCATACACCCGAAAATTTTACATAAAAAATATATGAATATAATTTGAATGAAAATTATAAGTATTATTTTTAATACCCACTCAAAGGTCAGTTTTTCTTCAAAATTCCTCCACGATGACATCTCTCTCTTTAGGCAGATAGCCCTTGCATGCGTTACTCTATTTAATAAAAAACTTAATCTGACCTATGTGCCTAATTACAAATATTTTAACATACATAATTTTATATTTACATTTAGCCATCAAGTTTCAAACTTTTCAAATCTTCTAGAAAATAAATTTTGGCAGATCTCTTTTAGCAATTTTCTTAAAATCTATATTTTTGTAGTGCAACAACTTAGAATTTTATAAAACAAATTCATAATCAAAATCGCTGTTGTTAGTTATCGAAAAATAACCAAGATGTGATTTTTGCATAAATGTCAGTAAACTATACAAATTGCTATTATCCATCACACTATGAATGTTTCTTTCATGCGTGAGTGTCCCTTTTTCGATTTTTATGGAACTGTCGTGTGTCGAAATACTATCAGAATCTTGTCAAGCGAGCTTCTGAATGTAAACAAAGAACACCCCGTCTGGTGACCCAAGCTTCAAAGCAGTGCTTCACTTCTAGCCCGAAATGGCCCCTCCTCCCTTTCCTACCTCCATGGGGTTAACTGGTGAGTAGAATAAGTGAAAATAAATTTAAAACTGAAGTAAAACGTTTAATTACTGCATTTCGTGGGGATGCTAAGTCTTTAGTATCCTTCATCGGCTATCTTCATCAAATACAAAGCGGCTTTAAAACCAGAGAATAACTTATCTGCCACAGTTTTCGCTTTTCTGATGTTTTCGATGAACTCGATAAATTTTGTCGAAGAATTCTTCTATCGTATCATCTCTGAGCCAGTTAAGGGCTTCTCCTGCCTCTGTTGGGATTTGATTTAGTTTCTTCTTTAACTTTTCGCTATACTGACCCTTCTGAGAGGGGGGTGCTTTCTTCAGTGGTTTTTGCGAGTTGCGGAAAGTCTTCTTTCGTAGCAACAAATTCCTTCGTTTTACGTGGGGCTGGTTTTCTCTCGAATTTTTTCTTGTACTCTTCACATCCGCGATAACTGCAAACGTGGTATTTTCTGTAGAATAGACAGGTGGGTGTTTCATAATACTTCTTAGGGCAGGTATTGCTGCGATGTTCGTCTCCACATTTACAACATCTCACTGCGTTTGTGCATAAATGTTGGGAGTGCCCCCACTCCTGACATCTAAAACACTGGATCGGGCGTTTTCTGGGGCTATATTTCTCTATTCGGACGTTCACGCTAAACATGCAGTTTAGCTGATGAATTGCATGACCTTCATTCCTCTTAAGTTTAATGAGCCAAATTGGCAGTTTTTCAGGGTTGTATTTTTTGCTCCTGCAGAACTGCTTGACCTTTATAACTGGAAATTTTCTTCTTACTAAATCGTCAAAAACCGCTTCTTTAGTGACTTGATCTGGGAGATTTTTCAGAATGACTCTCAATGGTTTTACTTTATCCGTCAGGTAAGTGTGAAAAAGTATTTCATTCGCCTTCAGAAATTTCGTGGCATTTTTGTAATCCTCCATCTTTTTCGTGTTCACATATATCAATTTTAACTTTATGTTTGCTTCAATTTCGTCTTTGCATATTTCTCTGAGGTTTCGTTCGACGATTAGCCAGTCTATCTTCTCTTGCTTGAAAACAATAAGAGGGGGAATTTCATCAGGGCAGTCACATTTAGGTTCTTTCTGAATTTCTTCCAACTTCTCGAATCAATTCTCGCTAGTTTCTTCGCTCGGTAGTTTCTTCGCTGTCTTTTTAGGAGAGATTCATGGGTTTTCCTTCAGCTTTTTTTCAACTTGTTTTAGATTACTTTCGCCTAGATCAGAAGGTTCTGCTGGAAAGAGCGGTTCCTTTCCTCGCAAACGATCCAGAAGGTGGCATGCACCATATAGTCTTATCACCTTCATTACAATTTCCATTTGTTCATCCTCGCCTTTATCATAATCCACTTTCTCGGCGTAACTTCAAGTTCAGATGAGGTTTTCATCTTCTTTTTCTTACTTTTCTTCCTGGGCAATTTTACAAAATCCTCTCTCCTGAGTGGGAATTGCATCGATTTACTTGAAATCATAGATCGGTCCGATTCCATATCATCATCAGAAGTTTCACCCTGTGCCCTAAAAAAGAACATTTTGCTGTACCCATGGGTACCTGAATGAGTTCAGAAAATATCGCAATAAAAATAACTAAATATTTCTTATTTTAAATGAATTGATATGATTATCTGATGACAACAGTGAAAAAAAGGAGGCTAATTTCCAAATGTATTAGAATTAGGGCATGCGAAGTCCGTTGATCGTGTTTTTCTATCTATTGGCCACATTTAAAAGTGCACGCTGATTCCTCACATTTTGCGCGTATTGACATACTCTCTTACATCATGGTGCTGATATTACCTATGCACAGGGCTTAATTTCTAAGATGAGAAGTGCCGGAGCCCTATGGAAGACCGTCAGCAAAGAGGAACAAGAGTAAATAAAATGACTATTAAACTCATTAATAATTAAAAAATTAAATAGTTAATTATAATCAAATTAATTAATAACTATTTAATTAGTGTTTATAAATTGTTATTTAATCAATAATTATTATATAATTATAATTTAATTGATAATTATTGATTATTTACTGAAGTAATTAAAGATTGAAGTAGTAATTAAATAATTAAAACTAAATAAAATGAATAGAGATAAATTGAAATTTAATACGCGATTTTTAATATAATTTTATTGTTAAAATAAAATTTTCGAGATAAAATTTCTACTGAAATTGTTATTCAGTTGCATAAAAGAAGCGCCGCAGCCTTCTTATGCAGGGCTCCGGTGCGTTCCGGCTAGAATTATGATTTATTACAAAAATTAAGAAGAACCGAAGCCGAAACCCAGTGGGCTCCGGCCCAATTTAAGCTCTGATCGTAGGGGGGCAGTTCTTTTATCATCACAAAAATTAAATACTGATAAAATTTCCGTGACGAAACAGAATGAGGGTATGAGTGGGTGGAAACAAGAAATGAGGGGAATCTTGGTGAGAGAGCACGTTCTCTTTGACCGCAGCTCTCTGCTGATATAATTATAGCCGTTAGGCAGATGTATGTCAGGGGTAAAATGAGTCCTGAATTTGACTCCTTAGGATGAATGTAAAGTTGCTGGTTACGCTTCCCCCCCCCTTATGGGTACTGAGGGAAGACGATGTATAAGGACGTGCTTGAGCAGTTTTATCTCAGTATTTCGCTCTTATTGTACTGACTGTTATTTAACGCACATTTAACTTCCTGCGAGAATAACTAACTGTAAGCATCGATATCAATACACTAGACACGATGGCATGGCGAGAAATTTACCCGTTCCTAAAAAACTCCCCCTAATTTATTGCTTTTCTTAGAAGGAAAGGTTTCCGCATGTGAATGAGAGGACTTTACTTGAACTCTCATGTTCCCATGAGTTCGTATTTCTAGGGAAATAGAGTATTGCAAGGCCTGCTTATTGTTAAACTAAAACGTTAGGAATTATAAATTTTTTGCCCTTTAATCTGTGGTTCAGTTTTATAAAAATAAGTACCGGAGCTCATCTTATTTAGGGCTCCAGTGCGCTCCGGCTAAAATTGTAATTTATCTTAAAAATTGAGAAGCATCGGAGTCGGGCTCCGGCGCAATTTAAGCACTGCATATGCATCATCTTTGTCCTGAGTTGGCTTTTCATTGTACTGATCGCTAAAAGCCGTTTTCAACAATTTCTTGGTTGAATGTTGAAAAATGAATTTGTTGCTTAAGCTTTGCACTTTGTGAAAATCAGCAATATATGTATCAAACATGACTGTAAAATAATAATTTAAAATTAGTTATCATTTTTAATAATATAGATTTGAACAAGATGTATGTAGTTTATAAAAAATTTCTGTAATCTACATGTAAAGAAGAGAATGTGTAAAGTTAGTGCAACAGATTTTATTTCTACTATACAGTTACTTTTTGGATGAATTTTTTTATGTTGCAGCTGTAGTTATACAAACAGAATTAAATGCCCATTTATGAATTAAGTAAAAAATAATAATATAACCTTTTTTTTTCAGTATTTAAAACGTTTCAAGTAATTTAACCAAATTAGACAAAAAAAAAATTCACCCTCATTATTAATATATTATTTTTATTAATTCCGTTTCAGAGGTCAGATTCACTATACAGAAATGTATGATATGTTGCGCAACATGGATCCACCACTAGGATTTGGAAATAAGTGTCCTTATCGATTAGCGTACAAGGTAAGAGCATATCAATATAGAAAGTTTATCACACTGGAAAAATTTAGACTTTTTCATATGCTTCTTTTTTTTTTTTTTTTTAATTATTATTATTATTATTTTATTTTATTTTTATTACCAATATCTCAAGGAGATTTTTGGCTTGGATGCTATTTTTAAGGCCCCTGTATCTCAAAGCCACTATGCATTTACAAATATCTATGCTTCTTCCGGAATATGAACTTCCGCTCAATACTACGCAGCTTGTCTCTCTACCACCATGCCAAAGTGTGTGGTATTCCAATGGACAGTTGTTCCAAAGGAATAGGCAGAAAATTAATGCTTTGTTTTCAAGAGACGCTGAATCTTGTAAAATGCGTAATATTCATTACATAGTAATATTCTCCCTTGAATTTATATATGTATAGTATTAACGTAAATTGAGTTTAACTTTGATAATTATTCGAAATGGATGCATATGAGCATGTATAGGCTTGTGTAAAGTGTGTATGGCTTGTGAAACAATATTAGATAACATATTTTGTTAAGGGAAGAGAATATGAATTTCTGGATAAGTTTTAACAAAGAAAAGCACCAGACATGCATCCCATCTGAGAATGAATTAAATTTTCTCCATTTTTCGGGATCAAATAGCTTGATAAGTAATCTCCACTGTGATCAACTCATTTACCCAATTTGATTCCTTCTTATGTAAATGCTATAAATGTTGTATTGGCAAAAGTAAACTTTATCTATTAATAGATTTAGCATCATAAGTGAAGCAATCAAGAATGTTACCGAGGACATCCTGTATGTGATCTTTGATGACATAAATTATCTTTATTGAGTGTACCTGAATGTCAGTAGAGTAGAGAGCAATTTTTGTAGACGATGCTATTTTCAATTTAAATGCCATATTTCTTTCTGTAATGTGTTGCAAATTATAACCAATTATTTAGGGGTAATTATCTGATGAATGTTACTTATATATATTACACTCTTACATATTACTTATAGTTCATATAATGTCTGATTTTCTATGTTTTCTCAAATTATTTTTTTTATCTGTGCTGGAAAAGAAAATGTTTACTTAATATTTAAAAAATTTCTTTTCATATTTTCCTATGGAATGCAGAAACTCATCAGAATGAATATGCCTCTTTCTCCTGATTTAAAAGTTAACTTTACTACTACATTATTTGCCTTGATTAGGGAGAACCTCAGTATTAAAATTCGGCCAAGTAAGCCACTTTTCTTCTTCAATGTTCATTTATATACTATACTACGGCATTTAAATTATATTTTATTTTTAATATCATTCATCAAAAATAATTTTAATTTAAAATTAGTTATCATTTTTAATAATATAGATTTAAAGCGATAAACCAATAGCTTTAAATAATGATAATAAAAACAAAGTTTAAGGTGAAGGGGGAAACACTATAATACTAATATTAGCTAAACTATAATATTGAAAAATATTGATTATCATTCATTAGGAACGAGTGAAAATAGGTAAAATATTTTAAAGAGAGTTAAAATGGGAAAAAAGAAAAAAAAAAAAAAGAAGAAGAAGAAGAAGATTTAAAAATGCTGAAAAAAGGCAAGTGCCCGTCATTCGATTAAAAAAAAAACATTTTTTTAAAGAGGTTTGGGGGCTCAGCAGAATTGCTATGGAACCTTTATACACATTCAGAGATTAGGCACAGGTAAATATTGATTTCCAGAAGTTAAGCAACAAATGGAAAACTGTGGATAACTCAAAAAATATGTGAGCAATTACCAGAATGCAAATCAGTTATTTTGTTACGCCGATAGAGTTATGGAGCCAGCTTAGTTTAAAATTTAATTGTGTAGCCTTTAAGTACTGGCCTATGTTTTTAATTGAAATTTACTGTTCCTTTAATTGAATTACCACCATTTGTGGTTGTTTTTGTTAACACAAGAATGTGAATTGATATTCTACCTTCAATTTAAATAAATTTCAGGTTTTTCTATACTGCGTCATTTCAAAATTAATCACTTTCATATTATTCTTACATATTGCTAAAGATGTAGATACATAAGACTTCAGCCAATAATGATTTTGAATTTGGAGATTGAAACTTTATTAGCCAAGGGAAGACAAATCGGAACTAAAACTAAATCAATGTGAATCCAGCTTTCATCTTGGATACATTGCATTCTCTCTCTCTCGCTTCGCTTTTGCCAACTTGCTAATGGGTGCTGCTCCGGCTCTCTTCAGATATACATTTCCGAAAGTGTAGAAGGTACTGATGTAATTCTTCAACAGCAATTGGCGCTTAATGCACCAGTTTATCTGTGTTTATTTAAAAAATGTTTGTCTGCGAGTATAAGGAATTATTAAATCGGCCATGACTGCAACTACTTCTTAACGTAGCTACATGTCTACATCTGAATTGCTTCATATATATATGTGTGTGTAAGATGAAAATTATGTAAATCAAAATTATAATTTAAACTAACGGTAACCCTTTAATTCTCCCTCTCTGTTCTAAAAATCGTAATAACTTCTCTGGGTTGCATCATTTCTAGATCACCCATTTTGCGTGGCCTGCGCGACGCTGATGACGTAATTGGAAATTGAAACTTTTTAACTCAAACAAAACTTTTCTCTTCGTGCGCTACCATCTTGTACAACTATGCACTTCAGCTTCGCTTTCTGCTCTGCTAGGATGTAATTTCGCTGTCTTGCTTGCTATCGCTATAATATCAAAAATGTAAATGTTCTTGAATAGGTACGATTAGAGTGCCAAGTGAATTGTGGTCACAAACATCAACTGGAAAATAAAAATGGAATTAAAACTGTCCCAATAGCCAAATTTCTTAGCTATTACCAAGTCAAAAAACATACTACGCAATCAGAAGTCTTCCTCTTCAATGTGGATCTACGTACGCATCAACACTGCTCCGTCTTTTCCTTGCTATTATGACGTATATATATATATATATATTTTCGTGCATTAGCAAGTCTTCCAGCACTAAAATTTGGCAGTTTTATCGTGCTTATACAGTTTTTCCAGTTTTACCAGACAAATTTCTTATTGTTTATGTAGTACTATGTTACAACATTTCGTGGAGCTACAGCTCCTGGTAACTTTTTAGCAAGGTTGCTGCAATGTTCCTACCTACTACTATTCTTTCAAATCTTTTTGCAGCATTATGCGCAAAAGTTTTTGAGATCAGATAGGTCTTACGTCTAATTACCAGTTAGCTTTACATTTTCTTTTTCAATTATATATATATATATTTGTGGCCTGCGGATTTGTTAATTCCTCTGAATTGCAGACTTTCACAGCTGATAGACAACTAATTTGTCCTAGCTCTTGAAATCCTGCTTACATAGGCTTGAAGCACGGGCTTCTGGAAGCTTCGGCGCAGCGCTGAAAAGGGCAGCTTTCAAGCAAACTATAACTCAGCAAACTGCCGGTCGGAGGGCTTAAGAAATTCGTTTTCTCACAGCAGCCCCAAAATCATCAAATCGGCTAGAAATCGCCAAATGTCGTCGACTTGTTGTTGCCGCCAAGGTCTACAGAAGCATAATCTGCACATAACTTGTTGTTTCTCGCTGTTCTACTTGAGCTGTTTTTACAATTTAAACGATACAGAACTCGGGTGTCACATATTTGGTACTCTATATTATAAATAAACACTTATATATAAAATATATAGACACAAATTCAATTAAACGCAAAATAAACCTTGAGTTACCCCCCTCAAGGCAGCAAATAACTAAATAATTAAGCAAAAGAATATACAACAATAATGCGGGAAAACAACAATGCAATCGAAAAGCATTAAAAAATTTACAGAAATTTGCAGCAAGATAAGATATATAATGAAAAGATACAAAAAGTATATTAAAGCCCATTGATATGGTTATTTCTTCTAATCTGTAGTCATATTTGAAATTTGTGAAAGATGAATTCAGACTTTTTAATGCTACATAATCATCAGCATTAAACGTTGTGAAATGAAATAAAACTTTACGAGTTTATTATATTTAAGCCTAAGGACTTTTTTAATGTTTATTTCATGTTGAAATTTATTTTATAGTTGATGAAATGGACCAAGCAGATAGGGAACTTAAAGAAACAATTCGAAAAATCTGGCCTCTTCAAGCTAAAAAGGCAATAGATAAGCTTTTACCACCTGAGGATGGTATGTCTACTTTTAATTATTAATTTGGTATTTTTTGCTTAATATTAATATTTTGTTGCTTTTACTCGTATTTTGAAAACTTTAGAAAATCATGCTGTAAAAAATTTGAGAATATTTTAAATCAAGATAAACTAAAGTAGACTCAAAGCCGGCTTTTAGCATATTTGCCACCCTGAGTGAGAATTTTTTCGGTGGCCCAGTAAAAATTAAAACTGTGAGACTGTGACAAAACATTACTAAAAAAATAGACTAATACATAAATTATAATTAAAGCTGGATGGGTCAATCGAAGTTTGGTGTTTAACCTATATGAATTATTATTCTTATTTGCTAAGTTAAAAAAAACTTTTAATAGTTTTAACTTACAAATAATTGACTCAATTAATTAAGTTTGCCTGAAAAAATCTAAGAAACTTTTGTTAAAGCAGGAAAAAAATGTTATACATAACATCCCTTTCTTTTGATAACAACGCTAGTCCACTCAATCATGCTTGTGATAGGTTGATCTTAAATAGTTTTAATTAATTTTAGTTTATAGAAACTATGTTATCCTCTTGCTATATTACTACTGTTATAATTAGTATGCTCACTGGGGGGGGGCTATCAGGATGGTTTGGATGCAATTCTTGAACAACGTGCTCTTAAATAAACCTTAATACCTGGACATGTGTTTCGTTATCTTCTTCGTGAAAGAAACTCGAAAGTTCATCCCATAAATAATTTCTATCAACATCTGAATTAGAACTAAATGTTAATTTTAGCTGTAAATCAACGCAATGTTTAACAACTTCCGTTTTTCGTATACATTTTAGAAATCATGCATAAATTTTCACGTCGCAATAAAATTATTTAAATGCTGAAACTTTTCATTTAAAGACATAAGAGTAGTATTAAATCATTATTATTAGTAGTAGTAGTAGTATTAAATATGATTATCGCATTTTCTGTAGGTATTTTAACAGCTTTTTCATCGGATCGATGTTTTATATATCTTATTCTCTTTAGTAGTTTAAATATTGTTTCTGTAGTTGCTAAATCTATTGCAGGAGTTAATATCTGATGTTATAGAGTCTGCGTTAAATTTATCTGACCACTAGAACTTCAAATTTATATCTTCCATCTTCCCTCTTCTTTTTTTTTTTTCTTCACAAGGTCTTGAAAGTGCATCAATATTACCATAACTTCTTTGGAGCGTCGAATTTCCATGTCGTATTCCTTTAGCCACTGTATATATCTAGCTACTTGGCCCTCCAGATTTTTTTAATTAAATAGGCAACTGAATGAAGCAAGGTCGATGTACAGTGCGAATTTGAGATCATTCAAATAACGATGAAAAAATTCTGTTGTCCTTACAATATCTAAAAGCTCTTTTCTGCTGCGTCTATATCCAGAATAAAGTTGTATTCAAGTTAGGTACAAGATAATACAGGAGTAGAAATCATTTTTCAGGGCTTTAAAGGTTTTTTTTCACAGTCATCAGTTCAGTTCATGAAAACTTCTTCTTTGCTTCTGGTAAGATTCTTTGCTTCTGGTAAGGATGTAAAGGCCATGCAGTTCGATTTTCTCAGGATCTGTGAAAACACCTTCGATGGGAATAATATGAAATTTAGTAAACATCGCTGCGTAATACTTTACATTTCGAAGAATTGAGTTTTATGTTATCCTCTCTGAGTTTCCATAGAACTTTCCTGATATTTCCAAGATATTCCTGAAAAGTACGTCCGCCTATAATAATGTCATTGAAATACACAAAGCATGCTTCATATGACTGTCCTTTCAAAATTACATCGTGAGGAGTTTAAATGTAGCTGGAATGTTGCACAGTCCTAAAGGCATTACTTTAAATCTTTCGGACTGTGTTGAGTTTACCTGATAGTAAATGAAGACTTCTGAGGATCTTTATTGTCAGCATCCACTTGCCGGTAATCACTCTTCAAATCCAAAGTAGAGAAACCATTTATTTCCTGCTAGCGTATCAAAAGGTAACTTTCTTTTTTCGAAATATCATTTAAACGCCTGTAGTTGAAACAAAATCGCGTGGAGGTATCTTTCTTCCGAACTAAGATAGTAGTTGATGCCTAAGGACTAGAAGTTTCAATATGTCATTGTGCTACATCTCCTTCAGAAGTCTTTTGACTTTACTCTTGTTTTGCGAAAGGAAGTGATCGAGGATGTTACTTGATAGGCGAATAGCTTCTTGTGATCGTCCATTGTCGTTTACATGCAAGCAATATCCTAGAGGAAGACGACATGAATTTTTTCTCTTAAATAACTTGCATATTGAATCTGATTAGGATTTAATTCTGTGATTGAGATTAAATCTTTTAATTCAGCCATAGCGGCTATTAATCAATGGAACTTCGCAAAGTACTTACCACAGCGGAACATGAAGCAGAATCCTCTCCTTTCGTAAAAATACGAAGCTTGTCACTCAGGTTGGTAACTGTGATCGGCACATTTTCTTCATTAAGTTCACAAAGACAATATCAGTTCATTATTTTTGATCAAAGGCAATATCAGTTCGTTATTTCATTATTTTCACAAAGGCAATATCAGTTCATTATTTTTGACGTCTAAACAAAATTCGTATTTCTTTAGAAAGAGAAAACTGAGGTAGATGGATCTGCAGGAACCACCTATAGTGTGCTTATAAACACAGGATGCAAAGCTCATGTATTTCATTTTCATGAGCATTCATTTTTCCATGCACAGACTGTTTCTCTGTCTTCTCATTCTGTGAGGTCAAGGATGGAGCCGTATACAGAAATTTCGGTCCATTTGCCGCTTTACATCAGCTAAGATCCATTTATTTCACCTCCCACATGCAATTCATAATTTTCAACGTGAAATGATGATATCTGGAACACCGACAGCTGATTTTTTTCGCTTGCAATTATTTATGCTCTTTCGTATAATTAGTATTTTTTAGACCTTTACGGAGAGGTCATTGCTTCCTTAAATATCCTTCACTGCCACAGCTCCAGCACTTTAACCTATGGTTACTGTGCCCTGGAGATTTGACAGCTTCTACTATCTCCATCTTTATCGTCAATTCCGTCAGCACTCTCATCACTGAGTGTGCTGCACTGTTGACACTCTTACACAGACGGAGATCTCTTCTGATAGCTTTCTAAACAACCTCCATTTTCATAGCGTACACAAGAGCACTCCTAAAATCTTTATCAGCTATCCAGAGTGTTCTTTGTGTATTTGGATCCCTAATAGTATCCACAATATAATGGAAAATCAGTGTGTTTTTAATTTCCTTTCCGCAATCCATAAATACTAGCTGAGTTAATTTCTCAGTGTCAATCTTTAGTTCTTGAAAGTGCGTTCCTGATTTTTTTATGTCTGGTTTTAAGTTGGAGTCGATTATAATGTTTGAGAATTGCTTCCATAAACTGCAATTATAGAGCATAAACTAGGATATCAGCTTCAACGAATATGAATATAGTACTTTATGATTTTACTTTTTTGGTGCATGTCATTAAACGTTTCTTGAAAGTAGATGTCAGCTTCTGAAGTTTCTCGGGTGGAAGTACTATCTGCAAGATGTCAGCTACTTTCCCTTGTAAATAGGAAGCCAAAGCTAACTCTTTAATGATAGTATCCCACGGATTTGCCTGCGAAATCATTTCAAGTTGAGTTTTGAATACTTTTTACAATGATTTTCCGTACGTAGTCAGTGTCTGATTACAATGCGAGATAACAGAGGCAAAATATTTTTATAGATGAATCTGGTTCCGCAAATTTATTTTCTAATCTCTGTATTTGTCATCTTTAGTTAGTGGCAGAAATTTCATCAGTGATATTTACGGTTCTTTTATTTAAAGTCCCTAACATTTCTGATTTTACATTCACTATACTATTCGAAATTTTTAAGAAAATTTAGAATTTTACTAGACCGGCTGCTTTCTTATTCATAGTTTTCATACTTTCTTCTTTAATAATGGCAGTTCTTTCTTTCATTTTTGATTCTCCCTTCCTTATCTCAGGGACATTAATTATTCCTTCTTCTGGCAGCAATCATTTCCATAATGGCTTTCAGCGGCATTCCCAAGCAATTTGTTTTGTTATAAATAATAATAATAGATAGCAAAATAGTAACTATATAGTTCTTGAGCTGTAACTAGCTCAAGAACAACACGGATATTAAGCAATTCCTTCTTGACGAATGAAAAATATTGTTAACTCCCAAAGTCTCTTAGAGAATAAACTCTAAAACGCAGTTCAGCTAACTCTCTTTAAACCGCAAGCTGATTTAATAACCGACTCCTACCTGGACTTGCATACTAAGATTATTCACTAGATTGCCTGTATTGGCATTTTCCATCGTGACTAAATTTACACCTCAATGGACTAGGCTGTCAAAGTGGCATTTATATGGTATTGCAGAGGCTTCTGAAGCGTTTTTAGGAAACTCTGCCGTAAGGCTTTAAGAATGCATTTTCCTAAAATTTCTAAAAAGGAGCTGGATTCACGAAAAATGTTTAACCAAAATGACAGGCGAGGACCACCAGGAGCATATTTACCCATATTTTTGCTTTCTAGTTGAACTATTTATAACAGTTTAAACGTTGTTAGATTCCGAATTGAAAGGTCTTTAATTCTATACAAGATATAAAGACTTATATACGAAATATATGGCCAAAATTCAGTTCCACGCAAAATAAATTAAAATTACCATTCTAACAGAATCTTTAAGGAAAAAAAAAACAATATACTCAAATGAGTGTTTATATTCTGAGCATAAATATCTTTTCAGCAGTACGCTTTTGTGTTCTGTTACATATAGTTTCCATAAATAATTTCCATTAAGTTCCATAATAATTAATTTCCATAAAGAATGGGATTTTAATGTCTTTATGCTATTAGAATCACTTTATTAAAACTACAGAATAATTATAAGCACTAGTGTAACATGTGTTCATACTGTAGTTTATATCGGTAATCTGAAATGTATTGAAACTTTTGCTTTCGAGATAATATCAGTGTCCCAAATCTCAGGTTATATGAGCCGCAGCGAGCAGAGTCGTAGCAAGGGTTTTCAGTGCCCAGGGACAACTGAAGATTTCGCGCCCCCTACTGCTTGCCAAGGATGGAAAACATTTAATTCTAAAATGTCGTAACATCAGTTTGGCGCCCCTTGGATTCTGCACCCAAGGACAGATTCCCCCCTTGCCCCCCTCTAGCTACGCCCCTGGCAGCGAGTCAGACCAAATGTCATTTCACAGTTGCCATTCAAAGCTAGTACATGTGCAAAAAGTGTTGGAATATCTATAATCAGACATAAAATATTGCACCATGAAGATAAGTGAACTTTCTGCAAAACTGCGCTACGTTTTACGATTCTATTTCTATAAAGCCACAAGTGCTGCACATGTCGGAGAAGAAATTTATGTTGTTTATGGCCGAGATACATCCTATCAAAAGCAACAGTCAAAAGATGGTTTCGTAGCTTTCAGTCTGAAAATTTCGATGTTGAAGTTGCTGATTGCAGATGCTCCTTCCAATGGTCAAGATGATCGTTCCAAGATACTCCTTGCTGCTCCTTCCCTAATTACTGCTGCCCAGCTGAATGATAGACTCGGACTTGTATTGTCGAGAGTTACAGTGATCATACTTAGCAATTTAAAAGAAACGGCTGGAGTCAACAGAACGTTTGTCATACATCACGCTGACAACGCCAGATCTCACACATACTCGTATTTAATGGCTCATTAGAAGTTGAGAGAACTTGATCGGGAGTTTTTAATGCATTCACTGTGTAACCTGGCTTAGCATCATGAGAATATCATTTGTTTCGATATCTGAAGAACTCTCTAAATGCTGTTAAATTAGTTTCAAAAGTGGCCTATGAAAACCATATGTCACAACTTTTTTACCAGAAACCATAGGAGTTCTGTAGGGACCAAATTTAGATGCTGCTGGAAAAACAGTAGAAATTCATGGAACAAAATGATACATACTTCATAATGGCATTTGATTTCATAATGTCATTTTCCAATAACAATAATGATATTCTCAATTTTACCTCTAGGGGCTCAGTACGTTTTAGACAACCCACTATATTGTTCTTTCCTAGATGCTTTAATTCACATCTATCACAAAAGTGCATCCCTTCGTTTTAAAATGTTTAATTTTGCCTTTTCAAGTTAATAAGCGAAGTGCATTTAATCCTCTAATATGCTTGGTAAAAGTATAATCCTAGACGTAACACAATCAGTTTTCATTTTATTTTCAACCAATTAGCTGTTTATTCTATGTTTTTATGCTTCATGGTTAATTTATTAATATACTGGTGTAAAAATGAAATTTTTTTTTTTTTTTTTTTTTTTTTTTTTTGTTAACACTGTGGAAGACACATTAAAATGTTGGTTTTTTTATTATGCTATTTATGACTTTTATTAAGTTATTTAATTTTTATATGCTTATTTATTTTTAATATGCTATCTATTACTTTTAATTAGTTATTTATATTTTAGATGACGCCATAAAAATGCTATTTTTAAATTCGAAAAGGCGATAAAACGGCGGAAAAAAGAACCTTAATTTAATGATGTAACCGTAATTTGATGATTAATCAACAACCAATTTTAGTGCTGTTATTTAAATAAATAAATAACTTATCACGTACTACATCATTACTAACTTCGGTATTTTCTGTGATGTAAATTAAGACCTTATACCGCTGTCTTTAACTTTCATATTTTTAATTAAATATTAAATGTTTTAAAAATAGATTTTATTATTGTTTTAAGAAATTTAAATATTTAATATTACAAAAAGATTAGTATATTTAAAAAGCAAACTTAGAATTATTACTTGGTTATTAGTCATTTAGAAATTTTCATTGTGTATAGCAAAAATTTAGTGTATTATAACTTGCTTATTGACCATTTAGAAATTTTAAATGTATAGTATTTAAAAGCTTCTTTAACGGCTCTTCTGAATAGTGTATAATTTTAATGTAAATGTGTGAAATTTTGAGCTATGAAACATAAAGAGAAAATTTCGTGTTTCTCATATAATTTTAAAATATTCATTGTTATTGATTTTAATCAATAGGGCAAAAATAATTGTTGTTTGTCATTTCAAATGAAATAAATATGTAATTTATGTTTTGATAGTTTGCAAAATAAAGCAAACTATTAAAAAATAATGAAGCTTTTTTAAAATAGATGTATGCTTTTTCAGGACTTCAGTTTTCTGGTAATTTAATTGGAAAAAGTATAGATAATACTAATTTATCTATGATTGCCTGTAAAGTAGTTTAAGCATGCAAATGAATGATATAGCTATTTAATTGTGAAGATAAGTCCGTTATTAGAATGCATCATTTAAGAAACCTGGAATAATTAATGCATAGTTTGAAAAATCTGGAGTTATATGAAAAACTGAAAATATATGTATAAGTTTTTCTGAGGTACTCATTAATTAGGCTTTGAGAACTGTGAAATAGCATTAAAATGGACTTATTATTAAGAGAAACCTTTCTCTTTTTTTCCTCCTTTCTTTTTCCTCTCTCTTCCTCTTTTTTAATTGCTCTCTCAATATTTATCTTTTAGATCTGCAGGGCATCAAAATAACAGTTGGAAAGATTTATTGTGCTTTGCTAATATTAGATAACTGGCGAACTACTCGTTTTGGGAAACTGAACACTGGACAAAGACCTGCAGTAAGTAAAACCATTGCAATAAAATTATTCATAAAGTTGTTTTTGGGAGGAAATAATATTGTTAAGCACTATATGTTCGTGGATGTCTCTTTACATAATCTCTCCAAATGAACAAGAATAAGTTAATAATTTATCGTAATTAATAATAGTAAACAACAAAATAAACGGCTGTAAATAACTTATAGAGAATGCAGATATCAAGCAAATCCTTCACAACACACAAGAAGTTTTGTAAAATTACCAATATAACTCAAACAGTAAACTCTAAAATGCAACTCAACTAATTCTCTTTGAATCTCACTCATTCTGAAATCATTCAGATCTGACTATAAACTAATTAGTCAGATCAACTAAACACGGCTCTAAAGCCGTATTTTTATAGTATTGTCAGGTCATCTGGGAGATTCGGAAAAAATCACTCCTGAAGCTTTAAAAATATGTTTTCCCAAAAGCTCCATAAATTTTCCTCAACTTGGCGGCAAGGCCCATCAGAAGATATTTTACCTATATTCTGGGTTCTACTTGAATTATTTTAACAATTTAAATGTTGTATTTAGAATCATGAGACCTACAATTCTATGCAAGAATTAAGCAGCTATATAGAAAATGCATGGCCAAAAATTTAATTATACAGAAATATAAATCAAAATTGTCACCTGACAATGCAACAAATAAACAAAGAACTACATAAGAACAATACGAAGCATTAAACAAAATACAAGCAAATAAAAAAAAATCTGATGTGTACACCACATGACTTCCTTGTATGGAATATTAAATTATACGCATTTGTTTCTTGCGTTTCTTTTAAACTTATTGGATTTAATTAAATCTACTTTGCCGACAGCGCATAAACCACAATAGAATAAAGGCATTCTTTAAAATTCACTCTATTTGTTTAACATAGCGACACTCTGGCACTAGGTTCACTTAACAGTATTATATGTATATTTCATTCATATTATAACTCAGAATGCACAAAAAGTATATCATTTAAAGAATTATCTAATCGTTGCCACATGTTCTTTTCAAATACTATAATAAAGCTAGAACGATGTAAAAAAAAGAAATTAAGCAAACAAAACAAAACAAAAAAAAAACAGTTTTTCACAGACGATTGAGTATTTCTCATTCAATTAATTCAGCTTTCACTTCGCGACAAGACAAAAATACATAAAAGCTCAAAATATCTGCATTAAAAATTACGAATTATTAAAAATTATATTACTAATTATTAAAAATTAAGTAAATCTTAAACACTTATTTCCTTGAAAAAATTCCAGAATGGATTAAGCATGATTTAATTGGCAATAATAAATGAAGGCGTTATCTTTGTTGTTGCGAAGCTAAGTTTCTCTAGATTGGCAACAAATCCACTAGTCTGCTGTTTCAAGTGTAAACAATCAATGGCCGCCATAAAAAAAAGGCTTAGCGGCACTTAAACAACTTTAAAATTGTTGATAATTCTAAACATATTGCATACAGATTTACTAAAGGCATAAAAACCTTAACTGGAAGATTAAAACAACATAATTCAATCATTTTTATAGCAAAAAATGTACAATTTACAAATATATAAGAGTAAAGAAACTGAGATCACTGAGCCGGGTAACAGAGTGGATATATATATATATAAATATATTTATATACGTTTGGTGCGGCTGATTGCAACCAAAATACGAGGTGCACATCTACATGTTATAGCAGTCCTGTATACAAAATTTCAACGCTCTGAGGCTACTCGTTTTTGAGTTATGCGAGATACGTACGTACGTACATACGTTCGTACAGACGCCACGAAAAATTCTCTTCAGAATTAATCTTAAAGCAGTGTTATATTTTTTTGGTGGAAATGAGTCTTTTATTCTGTCTTTACGTACAGATATCACGCAAAAAACATCGTTAAATCGCATTGGATAGCGGTCAAAATGGATATTTTCGTAGAAATATGCTGCCTGAAACTTTTCGCGATTACAATACTTCCTTTTTACTTCGTACAAGGAAGTAAAAACAATGCTAACAAAACACAAAAATAGAAACAATATCAAATGAATTCAGATATTTACAGAAATTTACTATAACATGTACAAAAGAATTGAAAATAGAATTTTCAATATTAAGCATTAATATGTGAAGAAAAGTAATTGTCTTACTGCGGTTAAGTATCCATTTTTTATTCTTTTCCTGTTGGAAAGCAAATACTGAACAATTTCCTCAGATGTAATGACATAAGTTTCTTAAAAATAACAAAAAACAAATATAACTATGCAGTATAAAAGTGATTCCTATTTATATTAACAGTTCTATAAAACAATATAAATGTTTAGCAAAAATTCAAACTTAATAAAAGCAGTGTTTGTTCTTTTACCATTGATTTCCATCATAACAGTAATGAGTTAAAACTTGGAAAAAATTAGAGCATTGTTTTTATATCTGTAAATCCGCATTTTGACCTACAGTTTCTCTTTTAATTTATTGAAAATGATTTCATTTCTAAGTCCAGAATATTCCAAATGATATGTAATCAACCTCAAATAAAACTGTTTGAGCTTGTAATGCATAGTCTTCTTGGCTAAAATAAACTGCTTTAAAGTCTCTCAGCAATTTATCGCTAAAGACCAGAAGATGAATACAAGAGGAGAGGAGAAAACCTTTTATTGAACTCAGTTATCTACAGATGGCACAGTCTTTGTGCTTACAAATCCACCATCCACTTGTGGCCATAAAACTAATAATGGTGAACTAAACTAAATTTAAAGACAAGCTAGTAGTTTAAGACTACGCAAATTGATTTAACCTAGCAGGTTAACTCAGAAACACTACCATAATATTGAGCTTCGACAGCAAGAATGTGAAGTCGATATTCAGAATTCAAAACAGCTGGTAGAAACCACAATGTGCAAGCTCAATACTGAAACACTCCTCTGATTAGCATTTTCGCTACTTCAGTTTAAATATCCTCTCATTCACCCTAATTCATTTACTTCCAGACAAGGAAATGTTAGAAAAACAAGAAATGACAGAAAAGGGTAACAAATTAAAATAACTAGTCATAAAAATAATATAAATCTCAAAACCTGAAACAGAAAAAATAATGATAACATAATATTAGGGCTGAACTTCTTTCTTTCACTGAAAATATTATATGCTAGCTCAAGGTCATGGAATACAATAGGCATAATATTATTAAATTTTGCCTCCTAAAAATTTTACCTTATTAATAATTAATTTCAACAGATGAAAGAGATTGTACATTTACTTGAAAATGATTTTTTTTTAATTTGAAATGCAGCTTGTGTTTCAGTTGAATTTTTAATTACATTATGTTTAATTAAAGTATGACTATTAAAAACATGGATAGAGTGTAGATAATAATAAGTATGTCTTAGCTAAGGATGAATGTGCTTTGCATTAAACTACTTTATACCTCCTATGACTGTATATATTACTATTGTAGTATACAGACAGTCTATAAGGTATTTCTCCCGCCTTCTTGACATGCCTTCGTGGTGTGTTGGTCTGCACGCTGGGCGCGTATTCCGTGGTTCAATTCTCAGCGAAGGCTTTACATATTTTTCATCTCTTCCAAAAAATACTGCAGTGTCTCGTGTGCAAATGTAGGAAAATAACACTTCTCTGACTCCAATAGAACCAATATTTTATTCCTTACGAAGTTATAGATACGTATCCATAAACTTATTTAGATTTTACATGCACGTTGAATCGCGTGATAGAAAAGCGAACTTTGTTTACTTCGTTCTCCGAGGAGACTAGAAAGTGTTGCATTCCGCTTTTAACTAAATTAGAAACTTGACGGAACTGAAGCGACACTACACACCCTCCTTCCTCGTGACAGCGATTATGGAAGATAGTATTTAAAATGACTGGGGAACTTCACATGTCTGCCGGTTCTAGTAGTCTTGGTTTTATGATGAGTTTCTGAATTTTCTTCAGTGTTTCTGAGTTTAGGTGTTTCCCAAAGTTCCGCTTTCTTGGAATGGGAGTTTTGGAAAGGAATATCAGAATATTGCACTAGGAAACATGGCTTTAGTCTGTCTATTGAAACTCTTTTAACTTTTCCTTGGATTTTAATATCGAAATACTTATCCTTTCTTGCTCTTTACAGGATACGGCACAAGATAGACAGGCTGTAGTGAAGAATTATTAATGTTGTTGTATAGGAATACGTGAGAACAATTGGAAAGATGTTTAGAAACAAAGACTGTTCTATTTCCATGGGTGGTGGTAGAACTTTTCTTCATATCTCTTATTATTTTCTGAAGGTTTTGAGAAAATTCAGATTGTTTCATATGAGGTACTGTTGAAAAGAATTCTCCTGGTAGTGCTAAAGGGATTCCGTATACAAGTTCTGCGGATGAGCAACCGAAATCTTCCTGGATGACAGATCTTATGCCTAAAAGAACGAAAGGCAAAGCTTCCAGCCATGATTTTGATTCGAGTAGATGACATTTGAGATTTGCTTTTAACGTTTGGTGTTGTCTTTTGATAAGGCCATTTGCCTGTGGATGGTACGCAGTTGTAGTGTTTCTGTGAAAACCAAGATATTTTCCTAAAGCTTGAAAAGTTGGCTATCAAATTGCCGACCTTGGTCAGATGTTATCCGATTCGGAATTCCAAAGAGTGAAAACCAAGTATAAATCAAAGCTTTAGCAATAGATTCTGCTGATTGATCTTACGGTACCGCTTCGATCCATCGTGTATAACGATCGATGATGGTTAGAAGATATCTGAATCCTTTACAAGGAGGTAACGGACCAACCAGATCTATGCTTAAATGCTGGAATCTATGTGGAGGTACTTTGAATTCTCCCAAAAATGACTGTGTATGTCTGTGAACTTTAGATCTTTGGCAAGATAAACATGCTGTAGTCCATAGTCGGCAGTATTTATTCATATTGCACCATATGAAACGTCGTGTTCTCAATTTTATCGTGGATCTTATTCCAGGATGAGCTAAATTATGGATTGACGAAAATATT